AGCCTGCTTGAATCTTTACTAGAAGATATTTCTGGAACCATCTAAAAACTTCACCCCATTTCAAAAGTCACATGTGAAAAGGGCACACAAGTCACCCGACAACATCACATATGATGGGACCGCGAGAGTCAAGGCATGCGAAACAGCGCACGGCGATGGCGCCCTGAGAGAGCGCATTGAGATGTTTCAATGAAACAGTCCCATGTGATTGAATGCATGCGTCGCATTGAGAGAGCAATGCGATGAGACAAAAAAAAATTTTTTTTTTTTTTGTTTATTAATTAACAAAAAAAATTTGAAACGCTCGAATTTGTTGAGAGCGTGTAGCTTGTCGCGCGCATTGTTCTGGTCTCTCTTTTGTACAATTAATGTAGCACACCATGGATTTGAGAGTCATGCGACGCTCCGTCTCACAGCTCGCTGTCGCATTTGTGTACGCGTGAGATTTCCGGAAGCCTTGATGTGTCACGCAATTTTCTTTTACTCGGCAGCAATCATTGTGTCAACAATCAATACGAAACTATCGGTTTAAAATTGGCTCACTACGTGACTACTTGACCAAGCAAATCGATTAACCTACCCGATTCTAGACGAAATTCTAGTAATACAGTACACTATGTTTATTTTAATTCGCTTTGAAAGTTTGACAGATAAAATGAAGGGTTCGTGAATTTTCCCATGTTTCAAGGGGTGCATCGATTAGCTTGGGACCGAAGATAGTACCAGAGCTGAGCCAAAATGTTGAGCACGTTTCTTCGGGACCTTCTGGTCTTAGAGTTACCTCTATGATTGTGTGGTCCTCCTCATTGTTCTTCAGCAGCAGTTCTTTCGGTCGATGCGTCGTCGGCTTTGGAAAGCAACCGTTTAGTGATGAGTGTGTGAGTGCTGACCACGTTTTGCGCCCATTGCTGCAATGGAAGTGCTCTGCTCCCTGTTGGCGATACTGCTATGCAATGAAACCACTGGAAGCGGCTCCCGTTCTGACGGAGGAGGCTTATTGCATAGCGGAATATAAAGTGTTTATTGTGTTGTAACTTTTTGATTATTAAAACTATAGTTATTAAAACTATATGTTTATTTATAGTGAATATGAGTCCTCCGCTCTATAAAGTTAATTTGATTGAGCCTTATCTAATAAATTAATTAAAAAAAATTAATTTTACAAGATCCAAAATGTCTGAATTTTAACAAAAATATGAATCATTGCCCGTAACAAACAATTCTAGATAGAGCTGGAATTAGGGCACAACAGCTTTTGTAAATAATGACTTCTCTCGATGATTTCTCGGAAGTCATGGCTCGCCCTGGCAAATCGACATCACCATCGAGTAAAAGAAGACTTCTCCTACCCGTTGGATATGTTGGTTCGTGTAGGCGTGCCTTAAATTACGAGAAATCAACAAGAGAAGTCATTGTTTACAAAGGCTGTTACGCCCTAATTCTAGCTCTATCTAGAATTATACAAATCAGAGATGGTCGAGTTTTTCCGAAACGTCATTTGACGTGTAACATATCAGCTATTAAAGTGGGTTTCAAGCCATTATGCGTTTTGCGGGATTTTGTTTTCGTTTTAAAGGTGATTCTGGCCTCACTGTCTTATTGATGGGTCATGAGTTTATGAAATTACTTAACCTCGTTCGCCATAACGGAAAGTTCGAGAACTACTGCGTTAGACGTGCTATAGCTTTGGTCCAGCTTTTGGATAGTAAAATCGACTTTTGAATGGGGATCTCAGAATTGGTTTTAGAAAAATCTTGGACTTCAAGTAAATTTAGACCCAGGGAAAACTATTCAAAATCTCAACAAAAGAATGTTGTCAACAACCCGTACCTAGCAAAACTAATGAATGAACCACTCTGTCAAGCAGTTTTGGTGTGATTTTCTACCAGCGATTTCACAAAATTTGACCAACAAATAACTAGGGTAATTGACGTATTCTCGGCAACCTAAGCAGCGATCATCTTTCTATAGTCTTTTTTCTCTAAGGAACGCACACATATGCAGTATTGGTTTTTTAAGGGTTGATGAATATATTATGTCACGCTCTAAGGGGGGAGGAGGGTCTAAGATGTTGTGACAAGCAATGCATTAGGTATAGGAAAAACGTCACTATAGGGGGGAGGGGGTAATTTTTTGCTCGATTTAGCGTGACATAATTTATGGATGGGCCCTTACAACCTTTTGCTGCCAGCTGCTCTAACAATTTCAGTCGAAAGAATTGTCAAAAGCTGTTTTGAAACGCTTTTACAAAGTTCCAATCTTCTCTAGTGAGAGCGACTATTGTGGGCAACATCTTTTTATTCGGCAACCTTTCTATTTGAGCTGCATGTTAAACGGCTGTGCTTTCATCGGAAACTCGAAATCAGCAGCATTTTGTAGTGCGTGTGTTTCATTTCAAGAAAACCCTGCTAGATGACTTTTCTCAGTGGTAAATCATTTCCCCTATTTTTATTATGAAACGCACAAATTTTGGCTGCTTTTCTCGTTGTTCTAGAAGTAAATATCTTCAAATATTGAGTTATTTTGATGTTCGAGTGGTAGTAAACGTAATTTTAACTGCTGGAATGAAGTGGTTAATTCTGGAACATTAGAATAGTATCAAGGTTCTGGGATCATAAAACAAAATATGGAGACTTCTGACATGAAAAAACTATTAAAATCCCGGACTTAGAGGATTGCTCATGATTAAGAAGTTGAAAAGTTTTCAAAAAATTGAAATTTAGGGAAAAATTTAAGCTGTTGATTGTTTTTTTTTTTTAAAGAGATCCTTGAACTCTTTTAAGATTTTAAAACTTTTCATAATTGTGAAAATCCACGGATTCTTTTGAATTCGTCGCAATGAGTCTCATGAACTAGTGCAGCCATTCCATAGCAAAACGATATAGTGGATCGCAGAATTTTGAAAAATGGTAGTTTTGTTCATTATCGCTTAATATTGGACCCCTTATTTTCTATTATTCTGTCTTTAGGGTAACAATTTCTATGTAAGGGGGGTCCAAAAACTCAATTTTACTTTTTCAAAAATAACTTTTTCCAATAACTTTTGAACCACTGGGCCGATTTCAAAGATCAAACATAAAATTAAAGATAATTGAAAATACTTTTCAGTTCAAATATGACGATATTTAAATTTGGGATTTCATATTGAAAAGCATTAATTATATTTGTTTTTTTTATGGTTTTCATGGTTTGCAGATAGAGGGCACAATGTTTTTTTTTTCTTGAACATTTAGGCTTTTTAACCCAAAATATTTAATAAGCGATGTGTTCCATTTTCGTTTCTGAGTTACATTTTTTTGAAGTAATCCTGTTTTGGATTTTCACTCAATACTCCAAAATTGAAACGAATATAGATAATGTCGACAGTGAGCATGCATAAGGGCCTATACGCGATGATCGATTCTCATCGTCGATTTTCTCTTTTGTTAATAACTCGCTAGATTTAACGTTTCTCGGTGCGTTTGCTGTTGCTTTTGATAGCCAATACAACCTGTTACTACTCTGCATTGAACAAATTCTTGAAAATTGTTTCGCTTAGCTGTAGCAATGCAAAGAGAAAATCGATGAAGAGAATCGATCATCGCGTATTCGCCCTTATGAATGCTCACTGTCGATGTTACCATGTTACAGTCGCTATAAATCAATGGAGGCGTATGGTAGTCTAGTCGCATAGGAGTATTGAGCGTTTTTGTACTCCGGCCATAGAATAATTTTCGAGATCATTTTTACGAATTATCTAGATTCTGGAGCTTGAAAAACCTTGAGATTTTGGGACCTAAGCAAATTTGCTAGATCTCTGATTTTGAGTTATAGATACATTTTTGAAAACTTAGAATTGATGCTGCAGTCAAAATAATGAAAAATTCCTTACAAAAATATGAAAGATTAAGAAAAAGAAAAAATCCAAAATATGATCTGCCACTCATCGCAAGTCAGTTCCAGTTGCGATTTTTGTCAAACCTGATTTATTCGATTGAAATGGTAGCTAATCATCATCATAATACTGGATGAAATTAACAACTTTGTTTTGGAAAAGTTAGGAAAAAAACAGCAAAGCGGGTTGCCCCATTGCATAAGAAGCAATGGTGCGATGAAAATTGAAAACACGTTATTCTCGGCTTGCTGATTTGTGCTATGGGACGGACTTGCCATGAGCGACAGTAGCATTGCATATATGTCAGCATTCTGGCATTTTTTAAAATTCATTTTGTTTGTCTAATTAGGCTTAAACTGCTTTAAAAAAAACCCTACGGAGCCAATTGCCACTTTGTGAATAAATTTTTCCGACACAGCATATTCACAAGCTTCTGGTTGTTGTTGGCGGAGGGTTTTAAAGTTTCTTGAATTTCTCGTCCAAAGTTTTGATCAGTTTTCGTAAGAAGACATGTGCGGCTTCGGCTGGGAATGATTTATCAAAATAAATGCTTCGTTTGTTCGGCATTCACTCTTAAATAAATTACGTTGACACACTTCCCCTATACAATTTCCAGGCCAAACAAGACTCATGATCTGGGTCAGTTCGTATGCCGGTTCATTTAGATGACATGTTTTGGGACTCCGAGGGGCTACTACTCTTGTTTATTTGACATAATGACCCACCAAAAGTTTGAAGCTTGGAATACTTACTTATTTGAACAGCGGGAATCTACCCTTAATTGTTAATCCTTGATGCGCATTTGTGGCCTTCTAGTCAAGCTTTATCAGCAGAAATAATTATCATATTACAAACTAAGCCAAATGGACTTCTCAAAATCGATTATAATTTGAACGGACTGGACCGATTCTAGCATACGAATCTGAACACCCTTAGAACCTAGCCTTGAAAGCATCACCCAATGTTTGCTCACAAGCAGTAAACACAAAACCACAATTTCAGCTTTCCAATCAACGGGAACGTTGAGATTCGTGCCCTTGAATATGTGAAGTGAGCAGGCCAAACAAGCCGCCATAATCTCCCATCATTTTCTAATCCGCATTTTCTTGATTTTTTGTCCGCACAGATGATCACCGAGGGCACCAACGCCGTGCTGCTGATCGGAACGACGTACGAGGAGGACTCGGGCCTGTTCACCTGCCGGGTAACGACCTCGGCCGGCCAGGTCGAAACGTCCGCCAAACTGATAGTCAAAAGTAAGAATGCCCAGTAAATAACCAATCGATAACTTCGTTCTGTATCTTTACCTTCTAAGTTGGTTTTTCGTTTCCTCTTGTTGCTCGTAATTACACATCTTTCGTTTCGTTTTTTCGTTTTTAACTATATTTCATTTTGATTTTAAGAAGCAAAAAACCAATTCTAACACACCCCATCATGTTGAGGCGAAACAAAACAAACAAAAATGTCAAACGAATGAACGATGAAAACATACAACAGCAAAAGTAGATGATTTCAAAAAACGAGATTTCTTGGCAACAAGTAGATGAATAGTTAAGATAGCTGTTCCCCGCGGCATCAGCTTTAATAGTCTATTGTATAAATGCAAGCGCGTATTGAAAACAAAATCAAAACAAAAAAACGCAAGAGTGTTGTTTGAATTAACAAATACCTAAAGTGAAGCAAACAAGTAGTTGTAGTTAGTGCCAATCATTGCCTTTCTTCCTTCGCGTGCACGAGCGCGCACACATACACACAAACAACGAGCAGCGAATCTTTCTCCTTGTTTTGCTTTCAAATGTCACATTTCTGTTGTATGTTTACTATTTTCTTTTCACAAGCAACAGCAACAATCTAAGTAGTCTGTAAGAAACCAAAGCTACCAACAGCGTGAGTGCATATAGGAGATGAAAACAATCAAATTAAAGTACCCTACTAGTCCTGAAGTAAAAATGTCTGCTCTACCCTGCCCTGCTCTCCAGTCCGTTCGAAAAGATGGAGATTGATATTGTGAATTATTTATTTATTGACCTATTTATTACTACTACTTATTCATACAATGAAGTTTATACATTTATGTTATACTTTAGCTTATTAAATACACACTTTATAGCAGTTATTGAAAACACACACAAAAAAAGCTAGTGATAAAACCGAGCGGCTTAACAAATAAATTTGCAAGCAATTTTTAAATACAAAAAAATCATTTTTTCGATGTTTGCTGTAGACTTTCCAAACAAAATAATAAAAAAAAAGTGGCAATCATTGATCGGGATCGACTTTCCAATTCCCGTCACAAAAAAAAACCCTACCCGATACAAACAGAAACAAACGCTAAAACGTCAGAAACGTCAGAATACGAATTGGCTTGTCTTCGACTGCTTTCCCGTCGCGCGAAAGCGGTTTACCCGAACGACGGTCCGAAAACCAGATTTTTTTTACAAAACGCTGCTTTTGCAAGCAGAAATACAAAACAGTTCAGCTCTCCACGATGCAGTGTGCTGCGCCGAACATTCGCACACCCCTCGTCGGCAGGGCTTTGATTGCAGATTTACAATGCGAATCAATTTGGATGTTTGGATGATCCCTCAATGGAAGGGGGCGATTTGGAGTCATGCTCTTTGTTATTTTCTATGATTCACAGAATGAATCCCAACTTGTTACGATGTCATAAATGCAAAAAAAATCCCATTTACATTTCTGGCAACACTGCAGCTGCCAAATGTGCACTTCCTCCAACCATTCGCTCCGTGCTCCGATCGCCCACGAATCGAGCTCGCATCGACGATTGCCACTTTTAACGCGAATGTAGGTACCTACCTCTACGTGACGTTCTCATTCGAGCAAATCTTTTCCGAATCTCACCAGCTGACACGGCGTCCAAAACAGACCGAGACAGAGAAAAGCTGTCAAAATTCAAGCTGAAATTAATTGATCGCGCGAAATTTGGCCGCAAAGGTGAAGCGTGCAAAAATCACCGTTGAAATTCGAGCAGTTTATGCACCGCCTCCTGTGTGCCGTGCGCAAAAATGGCAACGTGTGCCACCGCACAAGGTGAATCGCACATTCATATGGAGAAGATTCCAAACATGACTCACTCGGAGATGGAAAAGCTGATCGAAATCGAACGTGTGAAAATGTGGGAGGTTTTCCCCCTGTCCGATTCATCTGTTCCCAGTCGGATTTAATCTATGCGCATCCGCCACCGCGAACTAGCATAATGTTTTCCACGTTTTAAGCAGCGCTCGCAAGAGGGCACACTCGAAGCTATTTTTAGCCCACGCCTGCCTCGATTTCGGTGTGAAACGTTTTCATATTTCCCTCGCTTATTCCCGGTAAAATTGCGATACGCTCCGCGCGCTGCCTGGTGACGGTTCCTCGAGGGAAACAAGCAGGAAAGTGGACTTTCTACTCTACTGCAGCAGCAGGAGTGAACTAGTTTTTCGAGTTTCCTCATTTGAAAAATGAGCTGTTAATTGCGGAGATTAACGGCAGGTTACAGCAAGTTTTCTCGTTAAGGGGGGGTTTTATCACTTCCTCCAAGAAGGGAAACCAGGGGCGAGACACTCGCTAGAATTTCGGAAAATAAAAACACCACAGACTTTCTCTAGAATTTTGTGTTTATTTATCTTGATCTTTTTTCACGCGAACACTGAAATCGAAAATCGAGCGGGTGTTCTGATTTTTTCTCAGATTGTGGTTTATTTTAATTAGGTGGTCACTTACCCCTCGTCGTTCCACGACTGTCAGCCACACACTCGAGAGATTTGAACACCGCAAACAACGGTGGCTAGGGACGGAAAAGATCGGCTTTATGAGAGCGAAAAATTAAAACCGCAAAAAAATAAACGCACAAATTGGACGTTGAGAAGCAGCAGGAAACAGAGGCAGCCAGGAAATTAGCGCTTGAAGCAAGCTGAAGGATGAAAATTTTGTAACTTAAGAGAGATGAACGTAATGAAACACAGAATAGCGGTAATAAAGTTTCTGAAAATAGCTTAAAAATTAGGATCTTTTTTCTTGACCGCCGATGGATGATGCCGAGAGGTGAGCGATGAAGGGGTTGCAATCGATCAAAAATCTGTCGACTCGGCTGTTGGCTTGGATTTGGATTGAGATTTAGTGCAGGAACCGGCTAAACCTTGATCTTAGCAACGAGAGAATCTCAGCAGACGCTAGTGGCGCCATCAGAGGAAAAACACAACCGTTGCAGCCATCTGGTTTAGGTCGATCATTATCGGAGCTGAGGTGTGCGCAATTAATTCTACAATGTTGTGCAACGGTTGGAATCCTTTTTGCACCAGCGAAAATATTCTAGATCTTTCGATGACCCTGGTCACCTGGTCCTTCCTTCAAGGTGATGATCTCACGGCCAATGCAGCGGCACTTTGTGTATTGTCACGCGACTCCCACGCGTCTGTTTGCTATCTCACCTGTCGTCGAGCCAAACAACAAAACAAACTGAGTCACACACCTTCGGTACTGTATACACCTTGCTCATCGCTTGTCAACGTCATCGCTGAGTCGGCTACGGATGAGTAGCTCTTCCATTTTTAAACGGTGCGCAACCTCTTCCATCTTCGCCTCGCTCTCCCTTTCGTCAACTCGGCTTAGAACACTAGTTATTCAATGCAGGGCCTACTATTTAGATAAAACAGAACCTATATGCACTCTCGCACCGGAGCAGACTTCCTCTGTATGGTTCGAACACTTGAGGCCTCCTCCTGGCCGTTTTCTCCCAGAACGGCACCAAGTGTGTCCTGTTCAAATAAAAATCGAAAAACAAAGAAACAATGTCAGTATCCCATAAAATGCGCTAACAAATTGCCTGCAGCTCGAAATTTTGGTTTGTTGTTTGCAAACTTTGCAGCTGCATCGGCTGCCGAAACGGCACCCACAGCTGTCAGTCAGTGCAAACAGATGCAAAACATCGATAAATTATCAACTTGCGCGTCTTGTGAGGAGGCAACAAACGTCACAAGCGCAGATTTCGAGCTACAGGCAAATGCAAACCATAATACTTATCTTTAATGGCTTTTCGGCTCGGACGCACATTCGTCTAATTTTAAGCTGCTGTTGCTTTCCCTATCTGCTTGGGTCACTTTGAAGTGTCCCCATTGTTGCTCGAAAACCGCCGCCACCACCGCTGCCACGCACTAACTGCAACTGCTTGCCACCGCCGCCGCCCAAAAAATGTCAAAATAACCGCTTGCCGCCTCCAGAACTTGCTCAGAGCAACAAAATAGCTGATTTCCCGCTTATTTAAAATAAGATTATGTGTTTACTTATGCCTTAAGACTTCCCTCTAACTTATTGATTATTGTTTAAGTGATTTAGCGTGTAGTAAACTAGCAGCCGATTATGTTTGTTTTTATAGTTTTTGTAAAACCGAATTTATATTTACAATTCTTAAACAAACACACATACGAAACACAACACGACGTACGAGTACTTTTGTATATTTTGTTTAACATTTAAGCAAATCTAAATCGCATTGATTAAAAAGTGATACACAAATCAACCAAAAAACCTGACGAAAAATAACGAACAAAAAAAAACATTGCAAACCGTTTTCTATGTTTTCTGCATCCCGAATCATCCCGCTTCATATCACAAACTTGTGTTTACTAATAATCAAAAAAAAAGGTTCCCGCGCTTTTGATCCACTAGAAAAAAAATAGTTCCAAACAACTCCTAATCCTCAGTTCCGAAAGAAAGATAAAACAAAAAATATCACAAACGAAGTAGGCATAAACTTGTGACGCCATCTTTTATGCCAACGTTTCACCTTCAGCGATGACACCCACACACTCCCCCACGCACCGGGAGTGACACGCGTGTCTCTATCACACAACTATTGTTTATGATGACGCAGTCAAACGGCGACAGCAAACCAGAAAAAGAACACAACTTCCATCACTTTTTGATTTATCACCAAAACCGCAGCAATCCATGCGAGAAAACTGTCACTCTCCCGCCCTGTCCCGCCGCTCAAACAGAGAGGGGGGAAGGGACTTTGGCACATCTAAATCACTCTAATCGCGGTTGGGGATCGGCTTGACGGATGGGACACGGAGAACCGACGTGCGCGCGCGTCCGAACACTTGAAACACAGGTACGCGACTGGCGAATCGGCGCAGCGGAGTTCTCGCTCCTACCCTTGGGTGGGGATCGGACCGTGATCCACTGTTGCCATCTCACTCTGCGCACCACAGGACCGACCGGCCGCATGCGTGACGACGGGCTACTGTGGTGCGCG